CTAGGGGATCAGGATGCTAATGGTTCCCAAAACAGTTGGGCATGAGCAAGAGTGGGAGTGTGTTTCAGAAGGGCTTGCAGAAAGGAGCGCCACTGGCTTGCCTCAGTCCAGAATGAGTGTTCATAAAAGAATCTGGGGGTCCCTTAAGGAAGCACTAGTTTCTGCCACATTTGCTGTGGTTCCCACAGGTGCACTGGAACCAGCAGTGGTAGGTGGCATTGGATGGGTGTGGGATATTGCCCACAGAGCTTTGCACTCCAACCCTGTGCATGTTTGCCCAGAAGTAATTCCACCAATCCTAATGGGACTTTTATCCGGGGAAAGAGGTACTGGATTTCAGCTTAAGGCACACTCAGCACTCTCAATGAGGCTCGCCTCTGGTAAATTATGCCCTTGAGAAATGAACTTCTGCCTACTTCTGTTTAGAACAAACCTGAGACCACCAAAAAAGATCATTTCTGTTTAAATATCACCATGCAGACATCCGGGGTCTCACTATTCTAAAGCTACTGCTATTTGCATATTTATTTATTTATTCTGTTTCTGTCCACTCCAGGCAGCTTACAAAACAATTAAAACTGCATAGCATTCTTAAAATCTGTAACACTAGAACATTGAGAATAACATCCAAAATAAAAAGAAACAGAATCCAACAAATTAAAATCATTACACAAAAACCTTTAAACAAGGTAAAACTCTAAGCCAGGAATAGGGTCAAGCTAAAAGCAAAATTTACCTCTAAATCAGCTATTAAAATAGACTGAGAAATGCTACATTTTTGCCTGGCATCAAAACAATAACCCTGTTTCTAACCAAGGCATTACTTTTCTGCTGTTCCAAAAATCTCAGATTAGTAGGATGCAGTTTAATAGTAGATATAGTAGGTCTGCAATAATTTTTCTAACCATTCCATTGGTAACTCAGGAATTGTCTCAAAGTAATGTGGCTGTATGTGAATGGCATGGATGGATACATCTTGGGATACGTTTTGCCATGGCCCACAAAGGTCTTAAGCAGCTATGGGGAGCTTTGTTGGAATTTTAAAGCTGACAGTAAATTAGATCTCTCTTAATCAGTGCTCCCTTATTCACCAAATGATTGAAATGATTACTTCCCTCACAAATCCCATATTGTTTTCAGTCAGTTCCTACATATGTGCCAGATCTCATGACTGAAGGCTGATAGAAAGTACTGAATGAGGAGGGAAGAAGGCACAGATTGTAGCTTACATACCGAGGAGACTGACACTAAACACAGACTTAACCTCTCTAGATCGGAGCTTATACTCTTCATTCTCCCAGCTGAGACAAGTCTTCCCATCCTGTTCCAAAAGTGTGCCAAATCATTACATTGAGCAACAATATACCAGGACGGCAAAGGCCTGCAGTTTGCTACTGTAAGCAAAACTGCTTACAGTAGCAAACTGCTCAATTCTCCTGGCACAAAATAAGTGTCAAAAGTCATTCACGTTGCTGGTATCACCTGTCTTCAGCTTTCCAGGTCACTGTTGTTTTGCTCCAGGTGAGGATTTGTGCTCTTTTTTCTTGTGGCAATTATTAATCTGGGGAGTTATTAGTAATGGAACAGTTAACTGCCTGAGATAAAAGGCAGTCCATGTCATAGACATACAGACTTGCTCTTGGAAACCCAACTTCCATTTCTTAAGTTTGCTAGGGAAAAAATCTGTTTTATAGACCATGGTGCATATTGTCCATTCTCATTCTGCCCTAGAATAGTGATTCTGGTGAAGGCACTTCTTAATCATGGAACAGGAGAGTTGGAAGGGGCCATGAAGGCTATTTGGTCCAATCCGCTGCTGCTGCACCACCATCCCACTCAGATGGCTGTCCAATTTCTTTTTGAATGTTTCAAGTGGTTCCACTGTTGTATTCCTCTGACATGAGGAAACTTTTCCTGATATCTAGCCTGAATCTGGGTTGTCGCAACTTGGATTGATTATTCTGTGTCCTACACTCTGGCATCAGCAAGAAGAGACCTTGACCTTCCTCTTTGTGACAGCCTTTGAGGTACTTAGAGGGATCATGTCTCCCCTCAGCCTTCTCAAGGCTGAACATGCCCAGTTCTCTCACAGAGCAGTGTTTCCAAACCCTGGATCATTTTTGTTGCTCTGTGCTGGACCCCTTCTAATTTTCCTGCATCTTTCTTAAATCTCAGTGCCCAGAACTTGACACAGTATTCCAGATGAAGTCTGACTAGTGAGGAGTATAGAGGAACTACTGCTTCTCATGATCTGGAAGTAATACTTCTGTTAATGCATCCCAAAATAGCATTTGCGCTTTTGGTGGCTGTATCACATTGTTGGCTCATGTTTAGCCTATTGTCTACAATTACTCCAAGATCTTTTTCTTTTCAAGTTCTGTTGAGCCATGTATTCCCCATCTCATATTGATGCATTTGATTCCTTTTTCCTCAGTGGAGGACTTGGCACTTGTCCCTACTGAATCTCATCCTGTTGCTTTCAGCTCAGCATTCCAGTTTATCAAGATTGCCCTGGATCTTCATTCTGTCTTCTAGGATGTTTGCTATTCCACCCAGTTTTGTCTTATCTGCAAATCTGATTATCTTTCCTTGTACTTCCTCAGCTAAATCATTAATAAAGATGTTGAAGAGCACTGGGACCAGGACTGAACCTGCAGCACCCCACTAGTTACCTTCCTCCTGAGAAGATGGTGTCTTCAGTGGCATTCTCAGGGTTGTCAAGCTATGTAGGGTTTGCATGTAGTTGCACATTACAATTTAACTCCAAAATGCTTCTGTAAAACCTGCTTGCAATTGTGATACAGACCACCACAGTGAATTTTCTGTACTGCTTTCTTGGTTTACTGAAATCCACATTTTGAGGGTGGGGTTTCTCTGTATAAAATCATTCAAAATTTTTAAAGTTGAAAAGTTAAAAAAAATGAGAAGATGTTAGGTCATGGCAAAATAGCATGGATATAAATGGATGACTCAAATTTTAATTATCTCAATAGGTGCAAAATTTTGCCACTCTGCACTGAATTTTGACAATGAAAACATGCAGGTGTGCAGCCTTTAAATGTGAAATCATACTCGGGCTGTAAAACATGGATACTTTAAACCAATTCATATCTATATCTATTTCTATATATCATTGAAACCAATGGGCTTAAGCATAGTCAAGTCAGGGTTGCTTTGAAACCTCTCACTTCCCAAACATGTGAACTTGCATCATTTGTCTCTTAGTGTGCCATCCAGTGTGGACATGCATGAGTTTCCAAATAGGCATTCAACTGAAAACCAGGAAGGAAAGAAAGAAATGAAATAAATAAATGCAGTTCACTAGCATCAGAAAGTGACACTGATTACTTTAAGCACAAGGAATGCGAATGCAGAAATGTTTCCAGAAGTCTTGCCAAAAAGTATATACTCTAGCAGGTGGGGAAAACATACTGTTAGCTAGGAATTTCCTTTGGCAAAAATGAAATGTCACTTGTTAAGAAAGCCATACAGACCCAGTGTACTTTGTAGGATCCTGCCTTTCAAGAATACAGCGATTTATTCCATCGTTCCCACCTAGTCCCAGAGATTTGAAACATGATGATAAGCCAAAGCTTCGCCAGCTATGATTTCATACTGCAAGGCGACCTTGAAACAGACACATGAGCCCTATTTATGCTCTTTTTGATGGACAGAATGACAATAATTTATGTACTCTTAACCATTTTAGAAGGGTAGAAATGTTTTAAGCTTAATTCTTCCTTTACTGCACTCTAATTCTCAAGATTTGTAATAACCTCATAACACTGTTATAAAATATGGTGCTACTTTTATCATACTTGCTGGATTATGAAGAGCCTGATCTAGCTAAATTACTGATGACTTGGGTGCAAAGGTGAAATTCTTTAATCACAACTAGGTCAGTGTGTACTAGAAAAAAGTGCTTAGAAATTTAATTTCATGACCACCCTGAGGACTACATAATTTCTGCACATGCAACAACATGTTGGACTGTGCATGTTGGGTTAAAGTGTTTTAGTAGGTCACATTTAAAAAACCAGCCCTAAAATTGAATTTTGCACTTCGTTTAAGATCACAGGCTATAGCCTTCACACTTTTGGCCTAATTTCGCAACCCAAAAGGGCTGAGAATAACTGGGAGAGATCCACAATGAATTTAAATGATTTCAGGAAACACCATGAAAAAATGCAGAACATGCAACATGCATGGGGAAAAATCTTACTAGAAACAGCTCCTATAAGCCCAATGCCTTCTCTTCCAACTGCAGATTATAAGCCATTCTTTTCCTTTATGGTTCTTGCCTACAGAAAAGGGAGGAGCAGAGATCCTGGCAGCCTCTCTGGGGAGTTTCCAAGAATTGATACAATAATGGGCCTTCTTTCTTGATCTAAACTAACCGTTGCCTTCTGCAGAGCATTGTCATGACTAACTTTGTAGTCATGACTAACTTTGGACCAGAAGTGAAGTCTTTAGATCATTTCAGAATCACACTGCATGCATGTCCAGAGTGCTAAAACATGCTTACAGAGGACAAAGCACCATCAATGCTAGAAATGTATGAATCTGCTATATATCCATCTGCCTTTATCTCTTTAAATTAACAATGTCACTTTTTGTCAGATATTGATAATATAGGAAGACTTTGGTCCCAAAGTCTCACTTGAGTGCTTATTAGAAGAACGTGTGCCTACTGTGGTGGCACTAAAAACAGAAGTTAGTAACCTCTTTTAGCTTTTCTAGTATTGCCACTTCATAAAGGACAAACCATTTTTCTTCTAGATGATCAATAAAAGAGTCTAGTTTCAAAATGACTTCGTATTGATGGAAGAGTCACAGTTGCTCTCAGTATTGATTGTGTGTCCATAATCACTTCTAGCTCAGTAAATTAACCTAGCACAATCATTTTAAACATAGAAAAAGTAGATAACTTAAGCAAAATATTTTCACTTATTTTGAAACACAGATGGATGTTCATCAAATCCTCATTTTCTTTGTCCTAGGAAGTAGATTTGCATCGAGTGAACAGCCAGGACAAGTTTGGACTTACGGTGTGCTACAGAACTGATGATGAAGATGATATTGGCATTTATATCAGTGAGGTGAGATGGAAAAGTTTTAAACATTATACCTGCCTTTTGCCTGCAGCTGTGAAGAAAGAATTTAGCTCTTGCAGCAGATTCTTTGCTATCTTGGGCTCGTGTATCACTTGAATTCTCACCATCTGATCGCTTATACTTGATTGTTTCCTCTAAAAAGTTGCAGTTGTGTTGACATTCTGTTATATGAAAATGGATCCAGACTTAGTTGCACTTTGTATAGGCCACCTGAAAACACTGTGATTTATGGTACTCCGGATCCAATTCAGCACAGGCAGCAATTTATTTTCAATAATTTCCAGCCCCGTTCATCTGTTGCAGCAAAAACAAGCAAGAGTTCTGTGGCACACTATAGATTAACAAATGCATTATGGTGTGAGCTTTCATCATTAAGAGGGATATGAAATGTGAAAGTACAGATTATGATAATTGCATTAAAGTGTCTAAAATAACGTGATGGCTCATTCATACAAACAAGTCAACACTGAACTGAGTTATTAAACATGAATATGTGAACTCAACTGTAGGACCATGATGACATTCCCAATCTTACCCTACTGAGCTTATCATACAATCACTTCTTTCATTAATGTCAATGAATGATTCATCAGCCCACCCTGGACAATCTTCTATTAGTGCTACCAAATGTATTTTAATCACTGGGCAGTATCCAATGCAACACGATTAATTTAAAAAAAAAACCCTTAGCACAATGCCAACCGAACTTGTTGGTGTGACAGCTTTCTCCAGAAAACCCATCACATCAGTCAGTGCTTTTGGCAATGCTCAACAGGTACTTTACCCTGCAAAACATAATTTACTTTAGTGGTTGTGTCACACTGGAGTCCATTGTGTTTCCCCTGATTTTGATTTATTTGGGCATATATTCTGTCCTGTCATTGATGCTATGAGTCTGGGAAAGTAACAATGTTTAATTATTGAAAGCGCATGAGAGGGAAGAAATACAGTTAAGTAGCCAACTTTGTACTCTTTCGATAGATTGATCCCAACAGCATTGCTGCGAAGGATGGTCGCATCAGAGAAGGCGATCGGATCATTCAAGTGAGTTTGTAAATAACTCGAGCATCTTCTGTGTTATGTGAAATGTACCCACGGCTTCTGTGGATGCTCTTCTCCTACTGATTCTGTGGTATTTTTAAGATAATAAGAAAATCATATTTCAGAAGCCTGCAGTATAACTATCCCTGCATAGTCTTCTGGCGAAATATCTAAAGGCCAGAGACTAGTGGTTTAGGCCAAATACAGTAGTGTTTACTTTCACAGATCAGTCATGAAAGGCAAAGTGCTACCTGACAGCATTATGTTGGTGAGAAACTACCTAAGGAGACAGTCTAACAGTCTCTTAACACTGGTGTAATGTTATTGAATTTGCCATCATATAGCACTTTTAGCAGGGAAAAAGATTGATAACCCTTATTTTATTCAGCCTCACAACAGCTTGTGAATCCCAATTGTCACATTACTTTTTGATGCAGTAAAGTTTATGTGGCAAGAACAGGTACTGTATACTATTTATCTTACTAGGGCAAAGTTTTAAAAACTAGAGTCTATCTGATATGAAAAAGTAGCTCCTTTTATGTGAGAATGCCCTTAAAACAAAGAGTATTGATTTAAAAGAGTTGCTCAGGGACTTTACTACATCAAAAAAGTAATATAAAAATTGGGTGTGAAGGAAATTATTCCCAATTCAGAGAAAGGGAAATGGCATTGACTTTGGTGAGTGGCTTCATGGGTAATCGCAGAACTCAACTCTGATCTGCGCCATGAGACTTAGATTCATGTCAGTGGGGCATGAAGTTCTGATCGATTATGCCCCATTTGAAGCACATCTATCAAATACAAACTAATCATCTCCATGCCAAAACCAACTTTAGCCTTGTATGTTTTCTACAGAAGTACTTAACTGCAAGCATCCTTCTGCAGAGTCTCTCTTTTTCGGGGGGGGGGGGGGATTTCTGGACCATGGAAATTGGCAATTTCTTTCTCTTCTTTCAGATTAATGGCATTGAGATACAAAATCGAGAGGAAGCTGTGGCACTTCTCACCAGTGAAGAAAGCAAGAATGTTTCCTTGCTCATAGCAAGACCAGAAATCCTCCAGGTGTTGCATCTAATTATTATTAGTTATCATTTATGTTGGGCCACAGATCATTCGAATGCTTGAGGGCTGTAGAGCTGGATAACTGTAGGTCACGGGCAGGATGCATCCGGCTACAAAAAGAACAGAGAAATGAAGGAGAGCAAGTCAGTCGAGAACTTTAAAAATAGGGGCAAGGAGCCTGTGCTGGATTTGAGAGTGGGCAGGAAGGCAGTATTGGGAGTTAAGGAGGACTTTCAGGTGGACAAAGCAAGGGAAAAGTGAGTGATGTTGTGTAGTGTCTAACTGTTCACCAACAATCACAGTAATGTTGCTGTGCCAGCATAAACCAGTACTTTCCCAAGGTAAATAGGGCAATGGGAAAAACAGTTATCTAAATTCAGCAACAAGTTGCTGACTTTTCCCGTGCTGGTTACATTGCACAAGAGTTGGCTTGCCTTAACTTTATGCCATTAGCACTGTCACTAGCTGGCATGATGGATAGAAGCGAAAGGATTGAGGCAAACCAACAGAGGACCAAAGAGAGAAAAAGCTTTTATAGTCAAGGCAAGACATGCCCAGAGCATAAACCAGTTTTTGTTGATGGGGCAGAAAGGGATTTGCATACTACCGTATCGGAAGAAGCAGCATATGGTGAAGAAGGAGTAGGAGTCACAAGTGAAACCAAAGCTAGGACGGACAACAGTAAGAAACTTGACACACTTACGAACTTTAGGCAAAAAGTGGCCTGAGTTGAAAGGGGTTTAGCAAAAGGCCAACACACCACCTCTCAACATCATCTGAAATTGAATTTTCAGAGTGAGGTCATGTTACTCTGCAAGCCAACCCCCCACTGCACCCCCCCCCCTTGAAACCACCACTGTGCCGTCTGCCTCTCCAAGGCCACGAATTGGCTCAAGGAGGAAAAGGGCATGGCAGAAGGGAGATGGAAAGGTGGGGGCAACAGTTTATACCATATCCAAGTGGCATCCCAGCCTCCTCCCATCGCTGTTACATTTGTCTGCAGTGGTGCTGCCTCTCTGTGAAACAACTTCCAAGTATTCCATCACAGCATCGATCGCTCGCCACACTTGCCTTCAGAGCACCTAACCTTCAAAGCAAACCAGGACGCCAAATTGTGGCAGCAGCCAAAAGGTTGCCTTTTCACTTTCAAAGGAGCTCTCCACTTGGTGACGGTCAGGCCCAAGCCACCATCCCACCCCACTGCATTCAGAACAGGCCATCTGGCCTGCTGCTGCCCATTGCACAGCCTTGCGCCTTCCAACCTGTCCTCCAGCTCACCAGGCAGGGGCTTTCTATCCCAGCATTGGCTGGCCATGATCTGCAACAGGAGGGACTGAAAGGAGCTGATGGCAGTACTCCGGCTGCAGGCCTCCCATTGTGGAATAGGGTGCCAGTGACCCATCTTATATATCAAGCTGCTTGTACAGATGAACAATTGCTGCCTCTTTAGCCCTCCATCACATCATGGTCCCCCACACCGCTCTAGATCCTTTATCCCAATGACACATTTCTTTCTAGGAATTAGTGGGGGAGAAAAGAATGCTTGATAAATGATAAGAAAATTCCCCTCTTGTAAACATTTAGCAAAGGAGTGTTTTCTCTTTTGAACTGGGATACCAGCAATATTCACATATGTGGATCTGCCCTTCTGCACTGGGGAGTCACAGCAAACAAGGAAGGCAGCCGGACTTCTATGCAAAGTTAGCAGGACGTGGTGCAGAAAGGCCTGAAATCCCAGAAAGGCTAAATGCTCTTTAAGGACTGGGTTGCGTCTTCCTGGCACTATTTAGCGCATCTGCTCTGTATTCCCTATCCTTGTAGTTGGACGAAGGATGGATGGATGATGACAGAAATGATTTTCTGGATGATTTGCACATGGACATGCTGGAGGAGCAGCACCATCAGGCAATGCAGTTCACCGCCAGCATGCTGCAGCAGGTAAGTGCCATTGCACGTGGCTGGACCGCCCGCATGCTTGGCACACCTCACCTGACACTCATACAGATACTGCACATAACTGGGGGAAAATCCCCACGCACTGCAGCCTTTACCCCTTAGAATAAAAAGCTGCTTTCCTACAGCCACGGTGTTCTTGACTAATTGCATTAAACACATCTTAATCTTCCTGGGAGCTTGCAAGGACAAGTGCAGCAATTTTCTCTGTACAAAGAAACAGAGAAACAGAGCGAGTCAGAAGGGGCCTCCTGGGCCATCTAGTCTGACACCCGATAGGAGAACATCCTGCCTCGGAAGTGTACGAATAATACAGAATTTCTCCACTGAATCTCTTCCTTAAGAGAATGGCCACCCCTGCCTAATCGTTATTTATTTAAGCATTGCTTCTTTAGTTTATTGTATCCAAATTCTTTTTCCCACCTATCCCAAGAAGTTACATTGTATCATTTTCTGTCTCCCCCCCCCCCCCCCCCCAACCTGGTAACTACCCTATTATTGTGAGACGCAGTAACTACATAAGAGCATCCACAGAGCTTTGCATTAAGGTCCCCTGGTCCCAACGCTCATCAGCTGCAGAAAGATATTAGTATGCAGGTGTTGCAGTGAGGAATCCCATATATTCTTTTAGCTGGATAATTAGTAGAGTTTTTTGTAATAATGGCCCCAAGAACAGATTCTGAATAAAAGGTACCTCTGTAATCTATCCAAGAATATATCACCATCCCAATACATTGTGCAGAACTTACGAAATTGGGAGAAGGTAGGTTGTTCCTAAGTCATAAATAGCTCATTTACTCTTCATTTAAAATATATTGAAGTTTACATGACCATAACATATTGTAATAGCTCAGTTAAAGGTATCTAGTACAGTACTATCAGTCTTATACCCACATTAAGCAGCTTGCTAAACAATAACTATTAGCGTGGAGATACCTCAGACACAAAAGGGAAAGGTCACATGAAATGGCTCCACAGGCAGCTTCACCTTCAGGCGTATGAGGAGACGCTCCTCCTCTCTCCAGGGCCCAGTGCCCAGAGCCAAGAAAGGGCAGCTTTGTCCTTGTGGCAACCACTCTCCTGGCTGTTTCTGGGTAGCAGAGTGTCAGGACAGCCCAAATGGGATAAGTCGTTCCTTGGCCAGATGCCTTGGCCAGCACTTGAAGATGCCGAAGATAATGTAGAGACCTTCATGTACACCAAAAGCAGGAGCAGCTCACTCCAGAGGGCTCTTAGGGTTAGGAGGTGGGGCAAGGAGGTGGAAACAGCCAAGCCCTGAGGGCAAGCACAGTCTCTCTTCCTCTTTTCTTAATGAATGTGCCTTCACGTGTTTTCTTAATGGATGTTCCTTTTCTCAATGCATGCTGTCTTTAGAAAAAGAAAAATGAAGAGGATGGTGGCACCACAGATACTGCAACCATTTTATCAAACCAGCTCGAAAAAGACAGTGGTGTAGGACGTACTGATGAAAGCACTCGAAACGATGAAAGCTCAGAACAAGAGAACAATGCTGATGATCATACAACTTCCTCAAACACCCTTGGGAGCCAGAAGAAGCTAACATACAGCCATGACACTTTGGGCAGTGGCGACATGCAGTTCAGCAACGAGTCATTTATTTCCGCCGACTGCACGGATGCAGACTTCCTTGGCATCCCGGTGGATGAGTGCGAGAGGTTTCGTGAACTGCTGGAACTGAAATGCCAGGTGAAGTCCACCAACCCGTATGGACTGTACTACCACAACAGTACTCTGGATATGAGCAAAAGTGACCATGAAAGCGTGGACAGGGAGCTGGAGATGCTGAATGAGGAGCTGCGTAATATTGAGCTGGAGTGCCTCAACATTGTGAGGGCCCACAAGATGCAGCAGCTGAAAGAGCAGTACCGGGAGCCGTGGATGCTGCACAACAGTGGCTTTCGCAACTACAACACGAGCATTGACGTCCGCCGACACGAGCTGTCGGACATCACCGAACTGCCCGAAAAATCAGACAAGGACAGCTCCAGTGCCTACAACACAGGCGAGAGTTGCCGAAGCACCCCTCTCACCCTGGAGATCTCCCCCAACAACTCCCTTTGCAGGACAGCAGAAGGTCTCAATTTGCAAGGCAGTGAAGGGGCAGAAGCCGCTCAGAAAGGTTTGCTGCCCAGCCCTGAAAGCCATGAATCCAGTACAGTGAAATCACTCCCAAATGACGCTGACATTAGCAAGCAGTTGGAAATCAAGGAGAGGAAAGCCAGTGATGGAAGCAAAAGCCCAGCTCAACCCCAGAAGCCAGGAGGCTCCTACTTGTCTTCCTACCAGCACTCACCATATAAACATGCCCATATCCCTGCCCATGCCCAACATTACCAGAGTTATATGCAGTTGATACAACAGAAGTCAGCCGTGGAATATGCACAGAGCCAGATGAGCTTGGTGAGCATGTGCAAAGACTTGAACTCCTCCAGCCAGAGTGAACCCAGGATGGAATGGAAAGTCAAGGTCAGGAGTGATGGGACCCGCTACATTACGAAGAGGCCAGTGAGGGACAGGTTGCTGAGAGAGCGCGCCATCAAGATCAAGGAAGAGCGCAGCGGCATGACCACAGATGATGATGCCATAAGTGAGCTGAAGATGGGCCGTTACTGGAGTAAGGAAGAGCGGAAGCAGCATGTCGTGAAAGCCAAGGAGCAGAGGAAAAGGCGTGAGTTTATGATGCAGAGCAGGTTAGAATGTTTAAAGGAGCAGCAAGGAGCCGAGGAGAAGAAGGAAATGAATATCATAGAACTGAGCCACAAAAAAATGATGAAGAAAAGGAATAAAAAGATATTTGACAATTGGATGACAATCCAAGAACTCCTAACTCATGGCACAAAGTCACCTGATGGCACAAAAGTTTACAACTCCTTCCTGTCGGTGACGACAGTATAATCTCCCTGTGACAAATCTATGTACATAAAACCCTACCGTTGGGGTAGAGATTCCTGCCTCGTTAAATGTGGCAACACTTTTTCGTTTTGTATATAAGACACATCCATTGACTGTGTGATTCAACTACCAAACTCTGGGTGCAAATGTTCTCAAAAAGGAGAGAAACCATAATCCACCCAAAATCTTTAAGGCAATACTGAACAGGACAGAGCTTATTTGGAATACCAATAGTACCCTTTTTTTGTAACTTGTTACCCTTTTACATAAAGTCTTTTAAATAACAGGAAAAGCATATTAATCATACTTACACAGGTAATATCTTTTTAAGCTATATTCATATTTAAAAAAGGTTACACATGCAGAATCACAAAGACAACTTCAAATATGTATTTTTAACAAGACAGTATTTTGCAATATATCTTTCTACTGTGCCCTTTTTCAGCACAAGTTGCCATTTTATCAATATTTTAGCTGAACTTCCAATCTCTTGATAGAATCATTTCACAGTAACATGAACCTTTTACCAACCTGGGCTGTGTCTTTGGTGTTGTCCATGCAGACCATTCGGCCTTCTGGCATGCGATGCCTGCCCCAGGTAATCCACCAAGCTAAAAAAGTAGCTTTATATGGTGACCCATCATGTGCTCAGCAAATGATCTCTGATTTTGATCTCTGATTAGGAGGACAACATAAAAAAGGAGGGTTACCAACCAAACGAGATACACTGCTTGGTCTGGTTGGTGTTGAAATTTGTGTGTGATTGCTGCAAATGTCTAGGTAGCTATAGCTCTAGTTCAAAGCGGTAGCCATAATGAACCTCTGAGATAAGATATTTATCATCTCTCACAATTAGCTATGTTGGCTAGGGGCGATGGGACGTGCAGGCCAAACCCCTTGGAGGCCACAAATGGCGCCCCACAACACACACACACACACACAGCCTCCCACCAAAGCAAGCAGTACAGGGAGAGAGGTCACCTCGGCACTAAACACAGTGTGGACACAATTCCTTAGGGTTCTAGCTTGCAGCTACACACTTGTTCTTTTCTCTCTGTGGTTTCCGAAGGATGTTTGCAGGTCTCACTTGAAAGAGCAGAAGCAAAGTGCTGCATGCTGCAGCCCCGAAAGATTTTGAAGCAAGTTTGCCAAGGCTGCGGCCTCTCGAAAGAATGTGCATGTGTGTCTAATGTTTTTACAAGGCCGTTTGTGTAATTTGAAATGCCCATTGTAGTAGCTGTCTGCTTTGTAGATTTGAATGTATTGAAATTGAGAGCAGCTCTCATGAAATCATGACTAGTTATTAACAAGTAAAATGAAGTTAAAAAATAAATTATTGTTTTATATTTCAAATCCATTGAAGTTATTCTTTCATCCCTTTTACCACCACAAGGACTCGTGCAAATTACATTCTTCCGTAGAACAGTACTGAATTGATTTGGCATGAAAAGGTCTGGCCAAACTGCGTTAATTGTTGTGATTATTGAGTCTGAGTTTGTTTTAGGATAAGAATAACCGTATCAATGCTGATGGCTCACTAAATTGGAGGCAGGCAACTTCTAGATGTACAAAGACTATTTTCACTTCCCAAACTGATGATGAAGCCACGAGGTGCTGGGGTGCATGAAAAAGAGAAAATTAAAACCGCCAAAATTCAGGGGCAAGACACTCTGTAGTGTTACAAAATGGGAAAATAGGTAGTTTCCAAGCTACATCTATCCCATTTGATGCTCTGTAACAGCTCCACAGTGCCCAACAGATGTAACTTGCAAACAAACTAAGTTTGGGTGCTTTGTAGCCACAAATGAGAACTGATATTATTCACATCTTTTTCCTATGCATGGCTGATTAAAAAAATAGTAAGTAGCCAGCACTGGTGGGAGGCAGGGGAACAGATTGAAACCATGGTGTGTAAAGAAGGGACTATTAATACCTTGCCCCACAATGGTCACAATCTGAATGGGTACTTATTTTTTTTAATTATTGTATTATTTATATGGGATAGGATATCGTATAGTATAATGATACTGTATTGTGAATAACTTCATTTATAGTCTCACCCCGAGAACACTCCTTTTAATGCCCCCCATGATTATAATTATAAAGCATACTGACCCCACACGGATGCAGAAAATGGCTACATTTCAGTTGAGAATGTTCAAGCCAGATATGCCTTCATAAGGCAAGGCTAGCATTTCACACGGTGCTGAAAAGGGTATAAGAAGCCAGCCTAGAAAGATGGGATAGCATGGAAGAAATGTTCTTCCAGGGCTCAAAAGAAAGCTTCCGGTTGCATCAGAATACACAAGTATGGCTCAAAAACTTTTCTAAATTCCACCTCAAAGCTCATTCTATCTCATATCCATACCAGCTTTTGAGCTTTGCTTTCTTTCTTTATGCACAAAGCGTTTGCATATTTTGTGCACATTTTCCTAAATAAACACAATGTGTGTTCATTTCTTGAAGGTTACACTTTTTTCCTTCCATGAATCGCATCACAAGCTCAGAAGTAGACTTTAGTCTTGGGGTCTGCATTCAATTCCAGAAGGTATGAACTGACAAAAAAATAACAAAAAAGAAGATAATCTTCCATGTATCCTTATATAGATTGCAGTCTTGCCATCTGTCTTATGAAGTAGGCCATAGGGAAAAGTAAAGCATGGAGGGGGAAAGAGTGTGGGTGCGTGTGTGCGTATTCCCATGTTCATACATGCATATTTGCACACTTTTAAATGGGGTGTGCGGATGCATAGTAGGTAACAAACTGCATATTTATTTGAGTATAAACAAGTGTCTGAGTCCTGTATAAATCATGGTTAGATAAATATAGTTCTCCACACTTCAGCGAGCTCTAGGCACCATGTGCCTCTAAGCCGTCCTGGACACATTTATTTGGGAGTAAGTGTCATTGAACTCAGTGAAACTGATTTCTGAGTAGGTGTGCATGGGATTGCATTGCAAATGGCAGAAAGTGCTTTTTCTGGCAATAGAGTGATCTGCAGTGAAGGATTTTTTAACAGATGCAAGGTTAATAGCCAGTATGCTATCACCCCACTGAACTGAGGTGACATGAGAAAGGCCTAAACTAGACCTAACGTCATCGTCTTCTACTTGGGTTTTGCCTTGCTCTGCCACCCCAGTCTGTCCCATTTAAACCCAACACATCCTTACGCATTAGTGATCACAAACAAGAGATAGGCAGGTCTACATATTGCCTAGGGACTAGTGGCTGAAGAACTAATTAGGATTATAAACTGAAAGTTATGTAAATTAAACCAAATATAATTATCTGCCAATGGCCTTTGGAAATAGGTTACAGGATACTTGCTAGCAAAATTGCTTAAATGCCTGGAAGCCACACAAAAGCAAGCCATCAGCAGTTCAAATGTCCTCTTATTTTGTTTTTGGTTGAGCTCTTGCACAGAGGAACTGTGAAACACAAACTCCATTAAGAAAAGACACTCAAACAAAAAGGTGATAGACACTGATTGGAACAATGTAATTCTTTCTTCCTCCTGATTGAATTTAAATTCCTTTCCACAGAAATGGCAACAGACAGGTTGTTCTGTTTCCCCAGAAGCCATGTTGCTTGCATGGAAAGAAACTGACACTTTTATTGCTGTAACACATATGAAGTCTTTCACACTGCACCACTTCACCTTATTCTGAAAAGGCATTGACAGAGCCAAGCAAAAGGAAACACACAAGAGCTTTTTCATCAGAAAAGAAACAAATAATTTTGGAAATGCTCATTTCATCTAAATCTCTACACTGAAATCCAAAGGCTGCTGCTTGTAAGGGAAAGGAGCAATTTGGAACACAGAATAAAGTGGAGTGTTTACTCCCTCCTTCAATGGCCACTTTTGCATTAAAAATCAGCCTAGCTTGTTCTTCCGTTGCACCTCTTTCCCACCAAGGGCCAGATTCACTTTCAGGAAAATCCTCATGACTGATTTCCATTGGTGAGCAGAGCCAAAGGCAAAAGAAAGTGGAGCTGAAATTCCAAAAATACCAGTATATTTGACCTTCAGTTTCTTACTGCTGAAAGGTTAGTTTGAGGAGAGGTGGGAAAAGGAGCCATCCATCAGCCATGAAACCATCAGAAGCTTGGCAGTCCAGCAGGAGGGAGCAGGGTTGTCTGATGAACCTGGATATTTGGCCCACAAGTTTATGATCAACATCCCTGCTTGATGGGATTTCAAGTGCATTTCTGAGGGAAAATGCATGTCTGGAATCCTGAGGCCAGAAGAATTTAGGTACATGCATGTGTGGATATAGCCTTCCATCCATAGAGACAGTATCCCAACCATCTACCAGTTTTGGTTATAGAAAAGTCAGAATGTTGCCCAAGAGCAGCTACTGAGCTTATGATGAGTTGTCAATAGACAGTGTGAGAATAATTTGAAAAGAGCCCTTTTTCATGTAAACAGTGAAATGTTGAGCAAATTGTTTAAAGTTTTTATCATTCATTTTTCCAGTCTTTATACTAACTTTTCCAATTGCCATGAGTGGCTTACAATTAAAATATGCAGAGCAATCATACACATTCCAACAGGTAAAAACTCAAAGAAATAAAAAGCACAGGGGAGTGGACTGATTCTATGTTCAATCCATTGTGTTTGGACTGAAGGTTATGGCTTTGTAAAGCATAAATATATCTTGTAAAGCTAGGAGGGAAACTCAGGGTTAAGTTTATTATTTAGTCTTTCGACCCCATATCTACCAACTACATTGTTGTAGTTCATTTTTATTCTGGAGTAGGTGCCATGAGTCTAATCCAAATCAGGTCTCACCTGTGGAGGGTGAGTGGCTTTAAAGTTCTGGATCAGGCCCCCTGCATCTTCTCTAGAGTAAAAATGACCAAAAAATAGCTGCTAATTCCAACTTGAATGTAATCTGTTCAGCCAACAAAATGGGGAGACATGCCTCTCTAGGCATGGGTGTCCACCAATGAGTTGAAATTGAAATATATCCAAAATGTATATATTTGAAATATAGTGAAATATATCCAAAATGTATTCCCCAAGTGTTCAAGAACACAAGTGTTTCCTATACAGGTCACCTTCCTACAAGTAACCATACCACTGGGTAAAGTGGAAATTATCCCTTAGTGACTTTGCAATCTTAGACTAGTTCCAAGCCTTCCTTCAGTGGTAAAGGCACTGCTTTAAGTGGTTAAAACAGTGAAAGTGTTGCAATCCATACAAGAGATTCTAGAGCTGCAAGTAGCATTAACTGGAGAGGTGACCATTGCTCTGCACTGGGAATACTTTGGCCTACTTCCAAGCTAATTGCCTTGCCCTCAACACTTCCACCTGCTCACAGATGTCCCAAATTCCAGTATCTTCTTTCTTGCTACTTCATTATTTTGCTGGCAGGCTGATATGACAGCACTCGGAAAGCTACTGCAAAAAGAGAAGAGGGGAAATTCCAACAGCTCTCTGATAATGGAGGTAGTCCTCCAGCAAGCCACAGCAAGACAGAGGTTTTGCAATGTTAGTAGCTCTTGGGAAAAGTTCATTTCAAGAGGCCCAGCATAGTGCTGTGGAAGATGCCAAGCATCAGATAGTGGTAGAACCACTCTCTTCTGTCTCTTCCTGCAGTTTACCACCATGATGCAACCATTTTTAAAAGTCCCCTAGAAAAAAACCAGATGTTCTGAATCCACCTATTTATATTAGAGTAGGATATCATCAGACTCAATTCTTGAAGCAAATTATCTAGTATATAGGGAAAATGTGAAACCTGGCTTTCTTTCAAATGCTCAAGGAAGTACATTAATTTCTGCAGAGACAGAAACTCTATGCAGCACTTGAGAGAGAGAGAGAGAAATGGTGGGAATGTTGACACTATATTGTGAGCTGAGTCTTCCCTCCCAGCAGTGACAGACTCACCAGCGCTTCCTGCCAAACATCTTTATTTTACTTGTAAGTTTCTGAGAACACACCAAGCAAAATGATGAACCCTCTCTGCCCCCCCCCACCCAAAGCTTTGTTTACGAACCCTTCTATGCCTGTCTCAGGTGGAAAGAGCACTGTGGAAATGGGCATGCTTGCTTTCCTCCTTCTGAGATCCCAGCTGTGCCACCCTTTGACTGTGACAACAGATTTTTGGGTCCACCTCCTCAGGATGCTGGAGTTCTCCATCCATTGATTGCTCATCTTTGAATCCCACCCCACCCCCAGGATGCTGTTGCTCTTCTTCGTTCCCATGGGTGGGTTGACTGGGCCCATGGGCTGTCCTTGAACTAACCTCATCCTGAGCAGGCACAGGCAGCTACAGAGAGCCTTGGACTGCAGCTGGAGATGCGTCCATTTCAGCAACCATCTTATTATCAGAGCCCGAGCTGTCAGTCC